AAAGCTGGAAGTGGTGCTGTGGCTCAAGTGGTAGAGCGCTAGCCTTGAGCTGAAGAGCTGAGGGACAGCGCCCAGTCCCAGAGTTCAGGCCTCACGACCGGACCCAAAAAAAATGAACAAGCAGTTCTGATGTTGTGTGGGGTCATGACTGGTTTGGTTGTGAAGTCCTGTTAGATCTCTACAAATGAGCCAGGTGAGATCAGCATTCCATATTCCTGGAGAAAGGATTTTAGAGACATCGATGATCACAAAGTTAGTTCTGCTGTAGAAGTAGTCAGGCTTGAAATAAAACTGTTCATCTCCTGCAGAATGTTCACATTGTTGAGTGCACTAAAATTGGGTGGGGCAATCATTGTCTATCTTGTGTCCCAGAACATAAGGTTCATTATGATTAGGACCACATTTGGTCATGGCTGGTGTTACGTGATGACAGGAATCTTCAAGGTATGTAGAATAATGTGTCCTTTGCCAACACCTTTCTTAGCAAAATAGGGCTAGAAAAGGGAATGAGACTTTCCCAGGCATGAATGAGGAGTGGAGGGGTAGGAGAAAAGGTTGATTTTGATCAGCACCAGTAGATAGTATTTATTTAGGGGGTCACACAGATTGACTGGCACACAGCAAATCCCTTAGGAATCCTGAGGATACCTGAGCAACACAGACACATCTGTGTGTGATAGAGGACATAGCTAATATGAGAATTTCATGATGTCCACAGTGATGTATTTTACTGGATGAGCCATAATGCTTTGCATTAACTAATGCCATGTACTTTCTGGCTTATGACTGCAAAGTAAAGCACTTTTTCAAAGAAGTCTATTTGAAAACCATGATTGCAGCTGTTTTTTGAACTCTACAAATATTTTCAAATCTTTTTCTATTCATTATTAAGCATATCCATAGAGACATCTAAGTGTAATTAAAAGACTTATGCTTTAAAAATGTACTCTAATAAATGATATAAATGCCTACCATGGAACTATAAGCTAGATGATGTGGGATCCTCAAAATGAGCAATTAGAGAAGTAAATTATATGCATCAGACTCATTCTTTGTTGAATGTCATCTTTCATTACTTCAAGGTCTGGCACCACAACAAAAGTCCTGATGATCTGCTTCAGAAGGCTTTTCTTGCTTTTGATATTTTACATCTCAATAATAGCCAAGTGTTTGCAACTTTCTCACTGTAGCAACCATGGTCATTTCACCAAGGTCCCCATTATGAGTTAATGTTCTGTATCCAGGAGAATTTGCAGTGAAAACTAAGAAGAAAAAAAAAAAAGCTTATTGCTTCTTGTAAGCCCACAGTTACAGGGGTCATGTGAGTCTACTACGAAGATGTGAACTCAGTTTTTCTATTATTGGAATCAGTGAGGGACAACTAGTAAGTGATCAATCATGTTAACAATGTTTTAGGAGAGAATGCAAATGTTCATTGTCCTGGTATAAATTTTAATGAAGATGGGGTTCAAAGGTACAGGAAGAACAATTACACAGTCTTGTCTCCTCACTGTGTAGTGTTGACTCATCTGGGTTTCAACAGAGCTCCCATGAGGACATAACTTTCCCTGTACTAAAGGCTGCATTCTTGTACGTCACACATTTTACAAAGGGTCACAAAACATCCTTCCAGTTCTCACTTCTGCTTCTGCATTTTTAAATCCCAACATGCTTTTTTGCAGCCCAAAGTAGTCGTCCCCTATTTCCAAGTCATTGTTTCCAGCTGCTAGAACTCTCCCTCCAATGAGATTTTTGTCACCACTGTATCTCATAGATCCTCCTTCCTGAAGGATTATCATCTATTGTCATTCCTGTGATAACTGATTGATCTGCTATTAGCAAGTTAACTCTGAATATTCCTATCTCTGGCACCCACTAATATGTAACACAGTAACTGCCTAGTGAGCAAGACAGAGGGAAAGAGATAGCAATGGTGGTGATGATTGGGAAGTGGGAGAAAGAGTATAGGGTCTATGCAAATAGTCTACCTAGGAGCATTCCCATCACATTCATTCCTGGGAACCACATACCTCTACTGCCAAGGTATCTTCTCACCTTAGGCCACCCATACAATAGGTCGCCAATTGATCCAACTGATCACTTCCTAATCTTCCTTTCCATATAATTGCACAATTATACATCTCAACCCCCAAAAAGCATTTTTTAGGGTCCATGCATCACTAGGAGTGGCCCTTATATTTCCCGCTAACCCAAGTAACTAGCCACTTCCACTCTCCCTTTTTAACACCTACAAGGCAAAAATAGGTAAGCAGCATGGTAAACTGAAGGGTTCTAATGCCCTGATGCAACCACATCCAAATATAAAGGCAACCACATCCAAATATAAAGGCAAGGACTCTGCCATTCCAACACCCAGAACTAGGCTAGTATCTGCTACTCTAGAATTAAGCCAACAGGAGGATCGTGTTTATGACTATAGTCTAATTTTGGATGCTAGAGCCAAGTTGGGGCTTTTTCTTTTTGAGACAGTTTTAGCTGGCCTCAAACTGGTAATCCTTCTGTCCTAGCCTCCTGAGTCCCAGGATTACAGGCATGAGACAAACCTAGCTAACTTGGATCCCTTTTAATGAGACAAGTGTGGTCAACAAGTGTGGTCATGCTACCAGTTTGTCTTCAGCTGTCAAGTAATTCCAGTTTGTTAGCTGAGGGAAACATCAAGACAACAATGAAAGCAGTGAGATGCTCCCTGCTCTTTCTTCAAAAGAACTTTTAGGTTGAACCACTTCTCTGAATAGCAACTAACTTCATACACTGGTTCCCTTGTTAATTCTTCCAATATATCAACTTGTCCCCACCTAAGGCCAACAGCCTTGCTGCTCCTATAACATGGATCATCTCACCAAAGCTATTTATTCGGCCCAATCTTGCTGTGCCTGATATCCAAAATTCATCTCCTCAAAGATGCCTTGTCTAACATCTCTACCACTTTGTTCCCCCATCCTGATTACTCTTTACTGCACCTATCACCACCACCAGACACATTTTATATAAATAGACTTATTACGTGATCTGTCCCACCTACCTTTAATTGTAATCTGAGAAAAGGGCCCCACATTTCTTACTCATGGCTATATCCAAAACCTTGATAGGACCTGGAGGTCAGCCTGTGTCTGCTGAACAGTTGAAGACTGGCTGGATGTCAAATCACTTAACTTTTAAAACAAGTATGCACATGAACATACTTAAGGAAGCCATGATACACATGAAAGTGGTCAGTTAAGTAGCTACATATGCACCTATTTCTTAGACTGGTTTCTTGTTGAGAACTCTTTTAAGAATTTTTCCATCCAGTTTATGAATTACATGATTGATCTTGTTATGGTAACGCTCACAAAACATGAAGGTTCTGCAATATGAAATTTATTTATTTACTTATTTTGTGGTGTTGGCAATCAAATACAGGGCCTCTGTCATGTTAGACAAGCATGTTACCATTGAGCTACATCCCCAACCTTTGAGTATGAAACTTAAAGCACATATTTTGGATATAGATCCACAAAACAGGAACTTGTATTTCACTTTCCCTAACTCCAAACATTAGGCCACTATGAATGGCTGCTGCTAGTCTGCCTCCAAGAAGGTGAGGACCTGCCCTTTCTTCTAGTTACTTAGATATTTTCAACTAACCTCATCTTTCCCCGCAAGGATCCAGCTATCTTTCATCTCCTTCACAACTGTGAGTACTCTAAAAAAACTTCTGTTGTTGAAAAATACCATTTCAAACAACTAAGGGTAAAAGAAAAATCTCTGGAAGCAGAAGCAAAAAGATTAAAAAAAAAAAAAAGGGAAAAACAGAAAAAGTGGCAGCAAAACCCTGAGCCTCATGATAGAAACTTATTCAAAAGTACCTTTAAATGTCACAGGTAGACAAACCATCTGAGACCCATATCAAAAAGGTTTCCTCACAGAAGGCAAGAACCCCACCCTGGACTCTTCATTCATTTTGGCTAAATTAGCCAGCTGAATTAAAAGAGGCTAGGGCTAGAAGGCAATTCTACTCATCTTCCCTTTATAGCAATCATTACTGGCCAGCTGAGAACTAAGGATGAGAAGAGTTGAAAAGAAAGCAAACACACCAAAGGTGTTCTGTCAAGTGATGCAGAGATGTGTACACAATGAGTTATTCCAGAGCCATACAAATCCAACTTTTACTGGAGGCTTCTCTCCCATATATACTAACACATGAACGATCACATCACCTTGTTTGTGGATACATTTAATATCCCTTACCATTCCCAACTTTCAAAACATAATAATATACAAAATATAAAATATCTTAAATATTTATAAAAATCGCAAGAAAAAAATAGAACGTATGAAAATATTTTTATCTAGGTTCTCCCTCATTATTGAGAGGCAGCTTAGTTTGCCTTGAGTTCATAACTGTTGAGAGGGTAGGAATATGCCCTGCCTAATACTATTCTGTCCCGGAGGAGCTTAAATAAAACATAGTAGTTGCAGAAGAGGATGAGAGCCATGGAAAGTGTATGGTTCCACTTCTCTGACCGCAGCAGGGAATATAGCTGGTAGAAGACAACACTGCCCTCAATAAGGATAAGTAGATTTAACAGCCTTAATGGACGATGAAACAGGAACTGTAAGGAAGTCAAAACACAAAACATTATTTCACAGAAAGACCAAAGTTACTGTTTGTTAAATTCATCTAAGATAATTTCATGTTTATAGGTTTTTGTATGCAATAACAAATATATCAACCTAGTATATCAACCTAGGTGTCTCTCTTTTTGTTTGTTTTTGATGGTACTCAAATTTGAACTACTCAGGGCCTTATGCATGTTAAGTAAATGCTAAAGCATTTGAGCTAGGCCCCTGTCCTCAATCAGGCCACTTCATTATTTTTTCATTTTAAATAAATGGTTTCCTTTTTGCTCACAAATAATGAAGTAAATTT